TATGAGAATTGAAACAATGATAGGTAAGGAATTTGGTGTTGCAGAATTCTATAAGTGGGTCCAGAGAATGGACTTACATTATTAAAACTAAGCAGGTTTCAGATAGGTCAGTTCTTGGATAGAAGACTACATCAGTCAAACAATTACAGATTTAGTTTGCATTCATGTTGGAGAAAACGTAGCTGAGAACTTTGGCTTGTAAAGCCTATAATTTCATTTGAAGCTCAATAGATTTTTTAAAAACCTTTTCAAATACAAGTATTGATCTTGTAAAAAACCATCTATTTGCAGCCTGAGCACTTTGTAACGAATCAAAAAGCTGTAAAGCAACTGTTAAACTGAGCTTTAAAGACAAGGAATTTACCTCCATGGCAATTATATAGCATACGTAACACTGGAAGCAGATATTCTACGCCAGGGTGGGGGAAGCTGTGCCCCTCAAGATGTTGCTGGACTTCCAAGTCCCATCAGCCTCAGCCAGTATGACCAATGGTCAGAAATTTCTGCCCTCCAGATGTTGCTGCACTAGTTTTTCCACTTTGGTTTCACTTACAACGAAGGGTGGGTTATAAACATTTTAAATGAATAAATTCTTTTTTAAAAAAATAATATTTATTAAGATTTGAAAGGTTACAAAAAGAAAAAAAATAGAAAACAGCATACTAAGCAAAAACAGAACATCACACCACAATAAAAAAAGAAGGAAAAAAAGGAAAAAAGAAAGAAAAAAAACCACAATGGATCTTCCCATAACTTATCTTTCATTTACTTGTTTCCTTGACCTCCTCACACCTCCCTTTTTTGTATTCTAGTTCAATTAGCTATTTCAGCAAGTCCTTTCCATCTTTTCCAATTTATATCCTCTATTTTATCTTATTATAATGTAACTTTCCCTCCTTTCACCATTTAACAATCTGTTTTTTTCTTATTCCTTTACAGCATCTCTGCTAAAACCGCATTACTTCATTCCAACATCCTTCTAACTTTCCTTAATTTTACAATGTTTCTGTAAGTAAACTTTAAATTTCTTCCAATCTTCTTCCACCAACTCTTCTCCCTGGTCTCGGATTCTGCCAGTCATTTCCGCCAGTTCCATGTAGTCCATCACCTTCATCTGCCATTCTTCCCGGGTGGGTAGATCTTGTGTCTTCCAATACTTCGCGATGAGTATTCTTGCTGCTGTTGTGGCATACATAAAGAAAGTTCTATCCCTTTTTGGCACCAATTGGCCGACCATGCCCAGGAGAAAGGCCTCTGGTTTCTTCAGAAAGGTATATTTAAATACCTTTTTCATTTCATTATAAATCATCTCCCAGAATGTCTTAATCCTTGGGCACGTCCACCAAAGGTGAAAAAATGTACCTTCAGTCTCTTTACATTTCCAACATTTATTATCGGGCAAGTGATATATTTTTTAAATGAATAAATTCAACCACCAGACAATCTCTACACATGTAGACAACCCACCAGAAACACAGCTACCTGCATTTTACAAAGTTTGCAAGGAATTTAATTCAGCAACCATCCACTGCAAAGACATATTTAATAGGGCCCAGAGAGAGTATGTTGATTTTGTCAAGTAACTATTCTACAACAGTGAAGTGCAATGAAGCAGCTCCATTGGTGATTACAAGGACAGTAGGAAGCAAGATCTAAAGGCTCGGCAGGGGTCATTTACGGTAGCTGTTACCCACTGCAAATATTTTAACCAAAAGAATCATGATATTGAAGGGAACAGATACACATGCTGGCTAAGTAGCTATTCCTACCCCTGTCCATTGATATCAGCATGAAGGAATTACACTGTTGTGCTCTCTTGATAATAGTTTGTGACAGAAAAATGGAAAGAAAGTTATCTGCGGCCCCCTTCCTTCAAATGATTCGTTCTGTAGTATTGTTTACCACTTATTTCCTTTTGTCAAAAAGGCAATTATATTGAGGCTCTACAATTTTATTCAAGTCAAGAGGCAGGCATTCAGACAACTAAGTTCTTTAACTGGTCAACAATTTTATTAAAAGCTTCAGGTCTTCCATTGCTTCCAACACTTCTGATCAAGGAGTTTAAAAACAAGTCCACTCTTCCTTTGTTGGTGTGTCCTGAGATATGCATATTAAGTGAGTATATAGAATTGGCAAAATTAACCTCAATTATAAGATACCAATCAAATCAAAAGTTAAGAATGGAGTGGAAGTATTTCAAAGATTACATGTCAAAATATTGTTCTAAAAACGACATGCTAATAGGCTTAGAATAAAAAATGTAAGCAATAACAAAACCAATAAAGAAAGAAGGAAAAATCAGAATTTAACAAAAAAATAATTTATTATAGAATTCAAGGGAAAAAGGTATAAAGAAATATAAAGAAGTTGAATTGCTGTGAAGGGAAGTAGAGGGTGGGTGGTGGGTTTTATAATTAAGTGTAAAATTATGTAGCTGTTGTAATTTACATATTATATTTTATGTGAGGGAATCATTGGGAATTTTGGTTATTATGTATATATGTTAAGTTTCAATAAAGATCTTTGAATACTTAAAAAAAAAAAAGAGTTTAAAAACAAGGATGGGGGAGGGAGAGCTACAGTTCTGTTCCAAAACTTTGCATTATTTTCTTTTTATCCAGTGCTTGAGAAACAAGACTTTCAGGTGCTGACAAAGTGCTATGTTGGCACTTAAAATACTGTCTTCTGGCATAGCCTTCAAGATTACTCTCCAAGTTGAGCAAAGGGACTCACTTAATTTCCCTTTAACAATTCTCCCCGGATACACTTTCATTCTCCATCAGGAGCTGCTGGTAAGGTTTTTAACTGGTATCTGGATAGTTTCTTTTGATTTGTTGATGGAATGCTGCATGCCTGCTAGCTATGTGACATAGCTCTGGATTGCAATTATATACTTTTGGAGAAAAAGAAAGACGGTTTATAGCAAAGGTTCCCTGCCACTGTCAGGCCAGATGATGGGTAAAACTGACTTTGTGCTATGGGTGATATATACAGAATGCAAACTCTTTGAGGGAGCCAGCATGGTGTAGTGGTTAAGAGTGGTGGACTCGTAATCTGGTGAACCGGGTTCACTTCCCTGCTCCTCCACATGCAGCTGCTGGGTGACCTTGGGCTAGTCACACTTCTCTGAAGTCTCTCAGCCTCACTCACCTCACAGAGTGTTTATTGTGGGGGAGGAAGGGAAAGGAAATTATTAGATGCTTTTAGAGTCCTTAAGGGGAGTGAAAGGCGTCTGAACTCCTCCTCTTCTTATCATTCCATTGTGATGCTCACTAGAAGGTTCTTAAGAGCAGCTGTTTTTATCAACACACAAAAGAATGAGGCAACTGACCTAGAATATATACCAATATCCAACTCAATTATCCAAGTGTGGATTGTTATGCAACCAAAATGCCATTATCCATGCATAGGAGGTAGGTGTCAGAAGACTTGGGGAAGCGCAAGGTTCAAAGGAGAACAAAAAAGATTAGAGGGAAAGGAACAAAAAAGATTTTTTGGGGGGAGCCTACAAAATACATCAGTTAATCCTGAGCATTCTCAGTAGGCATGTCATGGTGACTTAATTGAAGTGGTGAGTAGAAAGAGCAGGGAGACAAGCAGAATAGAAAAGAGCAGAGCCCTGAAGAGCAGCACTCCACAAGGAGACTTTTTCCTCCCAGGTTGTATTTGTATTCTCTTAGAGCAGGGGGCTAAAACGTTCCCAATCAACACGGTCAGTGATCTGGGATGGTGGGAGTTGCCATCTGAAGGGCCACAGGTTAGCCACTTGCCTTGGAGATTCATTCAGCAGGCATTTATCTATTGTGGCATGTCAATGATAATGGAAGTTAAGGTCAAACTGCTCAGAGACTAGAAGACCTCATTGGCCTTCTCCCCAAATAAAGCAAAGGGGCATAAAGGGGTTGAAACTGTTATCAGCGACAGGCAGCAACTGGCCCAAGTTGAAGTACTGGCGATTGCCGAAAATAACTGGGGGGGGGGGGAGTTTGCCCAAGGTGTTGCAACTAGATGAGCCCTGGGGATCACCACCAGCTTTATGAACATGTGTGTCCTGTGGTTTGGACCTAGAACTCACAAGTGGGGTAAAATCAGTCTGAACAGCTTTGTGTCACTAAGAACATACTAACTACTCAAAGTGAATTTCAGCAAGAGAACAATGAGCAAAAAGTGCAGACAAGAAAGTGAGAAAGCACATTTGGCAAAGAGAAGGATCTGTGCATATATATACATTAAGTTAAGCCACGGCAACTACCGTTTAATAAACTATGAGTTGTGTGTCCCCCCACCTCCAAATAAAACTATAGCTTTTTTCTCCAAAGTCTGGTTTGCTTCATAGCTATTCTTGCCTCATCCTTTCATAGCCTGGCAAGTGTTTGGTGTGGCTAGCAAACCATGGTTAAGGGTGTTGTTTTCATTCACAGCACCAAGCTTGGGTTAAAGCAAACCAATGTTTGTGAGCCAACAATAAACCATGGCTTCAGATGACCAAACAAAACATGGTTTAAAAAACCATAGTTCAATACACAGTAAGCTCAGCATTATGTGTAAACCAGGCCTTTGTGTGTCTAAAGTGAGTGAGAAGGCAGTGGCTTGAAAAGTGAAGGTAAGGTGACTGCCCAGAACTGGGGAAAGCGCACACCTAAGCACAAGGCATGTGTGCACCATTAAAAAGACTTCAGTAAAGAAAGGGTGTCTGAGGCCTAGATGTCATGGGAAATATGGAGGCCCAGCATGACCTGAAAAATCGTTCAGCTGAGGCAGAATTTCAGAAGCTGGTTTGTATGTCAGCTAAATCAAAGGCCACACATTTCCAAATATAACATGCCCATTTTAAAATGAAAGCTTCATGTTCTGAGACGCAGATTCCAGGCTCTCCCTTTCTCCATCACCTTCGTGTCTTCTAAACTGCAGGGTAGCGAGGATCCGTACAACAGAATCAACTTCTGTTAAAGACTTAGTTAAAGTAGCTGCACCACATGAAAAACGGAGAGGGCCTGTTTTCATGGCAAAATCTTATTTTAATGTAGAACATTTCAGATTAATAAATAAATAATTCTGCAAGTTAAAAAATATCATTTATATTCAAAACAAGTCTGTAAACATCATAAAACACATTACAACTTACTTTTCTCTCTTCGATATTCGAACTCTTGATTTCACTTCTGAAATCATAACTAGTTACTGCAAAGCTGCAGACACTTCATTCCATATAGTTCTTATCTGGAGAGCACTTGAGTAGATGAGCCAAAATACACAAACAAACAAACCCACACCAAGGTGTTTCCACGCTCCGACCTAGCAAAGCTATAACTCAAGTGGTGGCATTCTGTGCCATGCCAACATGGATGGCCTGATCAAAGAGTTTAGCATAGAACAGAAGGGAAGGGTGTGTGAAACAAACATCTTATTGGAGTAGTGCTATGAGATGCTGTTTTGTTTGTGCACTTGGACAAAAAGTCTTTCCTTACTTGTCCCTTTTATCTAGTAACTCTGGTATTGATCTCCCTCTCCCTTTAATGTGTCAGAGCACTCAGGTGTTCAGCGACTCTTTTGAAGATGTGGATTAAACAAGGCTATTGATTTGGTGAGCAAGGCGAGGGACAACACACAGTTCATAGGAGTCACCACTGGCTTGCCATTTCACTAAGTATAGTTTACCCAGCTCTTTCAGTTTGCAGGAAGGATCATCCAGAACATAAATGTGCTCTTCCTCTCTGGCAAAGCATGTCAATGCAACAAGAATGGCCTGGCAGTTCAATACTGAATCCTTGATGAGATTAGGGACAGTGTCTGCTCGTTTTATCAGCAAGATTCCCTCTTTTTATATACAAACACCACATGACTCTCATTTAATTAAACAGGCATTTGTTGTTTTTAAGCTGCCTCATTTATTTAAAGTTTGCTGTTTTGCTGAAACTGAGTTACTAAGGATAGAACCTGCTCTGAGGCTTTAATCTGTTTAGTTCCAAGATATGCAGCACTGTTACTCATAGTGTCCTCCAAAAAATAGCGATAGTTGACCATCATTCCGCAAGAGGCAGTGATGCCACGGGGGCTTGTGTCGGCCATCCAGTTCAAACGCCATAACACTGCACCGTTCTGAAGATGGAAGTTTGCCACAGGGTTAAGGGCATAGCCACGGTGCTTCTCTCCATACAGATACCAGGCACACAGTCTCATAAGGGGCTGCTGTAAAGCTCGGACCAGTCTTTCCGACCTCACCCATTCATTGTTTGCTAAGAGGCGCTTTAGAATTTCAACAGCAGGGTCTCCTGTGATCTCAGATATTTCTTGATATTCAGGATCTGTGAAAGGATCACATCTGCCCGTCTCCTTGGACTGTGAAGAAAGAAGGCCCAGGAACCACTTGGTGAATCCCGGAATGGGAGACAGAGTAGAGAAGGCTTTGATCTGAGGAAATTCCACCTGCAGTTTTTCAGTTTATAAAGAAAAGCAATCTATTATTATTATTATTATTATTATTATTATTATCTCAGTAGGATAAGGAGTCTAATAGCAAGAACACATACTATGTTTTCCCAGAAACTGGCCAAATCAATTCTTAGAATCAGCAAAGGAAACAGACCAGATCACCTTCATAAATGAGCAGAATGGGACCTTAAGTCAAGAGCATGCTGGTTATGTGAGTTTAATATCCTTTTAGAACCATTTCAGAACACAGTTGGAAAACATACCTACCGAGGTGGGAAAACATTTAAGATACAAATCCCTCATCTCTCATTTCTGTCTAATGAAATAAATATCCTCTGTCCAACATATTAAGTTCTCAGGATCCCAAGACTGAGGTAGTAAATTAAGCTCCCAGCAGGGTAGTTTCCATACTATAAAGGCTTGATCAGCCATTCTCTAACAACTGTTAGATGCCGCTCCAAGTATGTGAGATAAGCAACCATTTCTTAGGCTCTTGAAAAACTCAGATGATGCCAAACTGCTTGGTGAACAAAAATATTTATCTTATCCACAGTTTAAATATGTTTAGCAACAGGACAGCTACAACAGTATACCCCCAAACACACCATCCTCTGCAGAGAAAGAATGTATCCATTCATCAGACCAAGATTAACTGTGGGGAATTCAGAGTAGCAGTCACCCTGGAAAGGAATCTTCAATTTGAGGGAACAGCAGCGATATGCCTCCCTCCCCTCTGTCTATCTCACACAAAATAAGAGTTAAATAAACAAACTCTGAGTTTAACATATACCAAGTGACTGGTAGTTAGAGGTAGGAGTTAAGAGACTTGAATTAGAGATAGGAGTTAAGGGACTCTTTTAGAATAAAGAGCCTGGACAAGGAAGTAAGGCATTCTTATTTCCATAACAACAAAGCTTGTAGCTAAAAATTCAGGTGCCCCTAACCTGAACAGAGTATTTATTTGAACAGCATAGTCCACACGGGTGAAATGGGAAAGCTCTGGATCAACTGTACAATTCTATGATTCTAGTACTGTAAGAGCACTGTTGGGTCAGACCAGTTCAGCACTTTGCCTCCACAGTGGCTATAGGAAGCCCACAAGCAGGATGTAAGCGCAACAGCACTCTCCTGTATGTAGAACTTGATGTGTTTTTAATAGCATTTCTTTTGTTTACAAACAAAAAAGAGTAAACCTCAGCATAATTTATTAAGGCAGAGTCTATTTGGAATGGGGGGAGGGATAAGAAAAGCAATCATGTGCTTCTTTTATTTTAAGAAATAACAAGACAAATTGGCAAAACGACCTAGTTTTTGTAGTATCTCATATCTGATGAATGGCTGAGTTTAGAAGCTTATCTTATGTGGCCAGTTCCTGAAGAAAATAATAAATAGATGCAGTAAAGCATGGCCATTTATGCTGCTGCTAAATTGATGTGCTACTTTCCAGGGTTGCTAGTAGAGATCCGTTAATGTTTATTTCCTTGTCAGAAACCCACACTCCATTAAGAAGTAGATGCTGGGTTTATTTTGTTGCTGCTTCTGTAGAAGGTTGCAGATTCCTTTCTATTATCAGTGACTCATCTAAAACAACAATGAACTGCATTAGCCAAGGCAAGGGAAAAAAGAAAGCAATGCCACCATCTTTATCCTGACTATAACAGATTAAAGCAGTCCTTGCCAACAGCCTCACCAGACAGAATAACTCCTCCTTAAAATAAGCTTGGTTTGTTGGTCCTATCTTGCACTTTGCAAAGATTTAACACATATAGTCTTATGACACGCTTACAGCCTAAAATTTATTGCAGCATAAGCTTTTATCCGATAGAACCCACTTTATCAGATGCATTGCAAAGTTTTAAAGCTAATTCCTACTGATACCTGGGAAAGGAAACAGAAATCAAAATCTGTGGCCTGCTGTCACACACAAAAATATTTACTAGAATGACTGCACGCTCCCAATCCTGGGCACTGTTTGTGATCTAGTAGCATGACATGTTAATAGGTGATGTTTGCAGCTACCTTTATGAAGAGTGGCAGCTGAGATGCAGTTTCTGAGGCTACAGTGGCATTTACAGACAGAAGTGTCACACTGGGTTAAAGTGAAGGCAAACATGGATAAAGGACTGAATAATTTTTACTGGAGAATGGCCTAGTTTTTAAAAAAGTGCAGCATCTTAGGTAACCCTGTTCCTTTTGCAACTTAGATAGATGCCCATTGTGGTTAACCTGGGGCATATCAAAGGCTGCAGGAAAATGATTAAATATTTCATATTGATCATATCTCTAGAGACTGTTTACATGCTGCAAATTAACCACAAGCTGTGTGCAAAGGTTCATGTTTCCTTTTTCTGTACTTACTTTCCTCCAGCTTTCTACAAAATAACTTGACTAGCGAGTTTTCTTTTTTCTAACATTACATTTTAAAAATACTTAGGCTGTGATTTTGTGTAAAGTGTTAAACTTTCAAGTTACATTATTTTCTGCTGTCTAAGAAAGCTTGGTGTGGGTTTCCTGCCATGTACCCACATATGCAGATATCAAATAAAGGGATGAGCTGCCTTAAGAAACAAGAGTAACTGAAGAAGGTCAAAAGTCCCCATTCCTTGGTAAGACACTTGTCCCTTGCTTAACTCTTACTGAGCTAAAGTAATATCAGTCTGTTTGCTGATGCTAAGAGAGCTCTACACAGTTTTACACTACTGTGTCAGAGTCCCTGCCCAAATACAAAAATTTAGAAAAGTGTTTTGCTGTGATTTGTTTTACACATAATTCTATTTGCACTCATGTCCTTTTAGTGACAGAACTGCCCCAGCTATTCCTGTTTCTCCTCTTAAACTAACCCACAGTTACTGAAGTTCACAAACATCTCAGGGTTCAAATGGTTAAAATTTCCACCACTCCAGTTCAAACTTCAAAGTAATGTCACTTCACATTCCGACACAGCCATGATGGCAATAATTTAACATGCTCTTTTTCTTGGGAAATTAAAAGTTACAGAAGCTTGAAATTAAGTGATTTGGAATTAATCAAATAGATGAGAGAAAACAAAGCAAATAATGATATATCTTATTTTCCCTGCATTGTTTATTCCCCAAAGGATATTTCACATCCAGCCATGAGAAATGTATTACAACACATTAGTATCTATGGGAATGAACCCCAGCAAATGGAGCAGTACCAAGTAATTTAGTTTGGTATTTAAATGAGTAGGCTGCACTCTTAAGACAAATTCCGAAGCATCTGCCTTACACTAGGTTTAAAACATACAGCGCTCACACGAAAAACCCGTGGACTTTAACCTAAGTGAACAATCCCAAACCCAGTAGGAGTGGTAATTTCCAGAAACCTAAGTTAACAGGTGAGGTGGAAGTATTATAGTAAGATTTTCACATTCATTAGATATGACATAAATGATTCTTTGTGACAGGACACCTTGGTAGCAAGTTAACAAATGTTACTTTATCATAATAAAAATGTTTTCCAGGAGATGATCTTCACAATCCTACCATGTTGGGGCTCTTTCAGAATGCCTCATTTCACACACTTGATGAAGGGAAAGTCACACTCTGGCTCTTCCAATATGTGAATTTGACCTAAGCAGTTTCTGAACACAGGAATCTCATTATCAGGAAGTCTGGAAAAGTAGGGTGAACACTACACACTGCTAATTTGGGGCATACTTTTAAGTTTCCTTGCGAATTTCCAACAGGGCTCTTTGAAGAGGTGGGCATGGTTTACTCCCAAACAACCTGGTGGGCCAAACTTTTGAGGTCCAGTGGTTTGTGGTCCCTGGCTTGCATTCCAGAGTGTCCCCACCACTACCTTTGGGGAAGGGTGGTCAGTGGTCGAGCACATAATTTGCATGCAAGGTTCAATACCTGGTATTTCTAGAAATCCTGCAAAGGATTTCTTCCTGGAACCTTGGAACTTTGCTGCCATTCTATGCAGATAATACTGAGCAAGGTGGATCAATGATTTGACTCTGCATAAGGAAGTTTCCTGTGTTCCTATACACTGCATTTCAAGTACAAGTGCACCAGAAGAAATGAAGATACAGTCATACCTCATGTTACGTTTGTTTCATGTTATGTTCTTTCAGGTTACGTCCTATGGCGACCCGGAAATACTGGAAAGGGCTACTTCCAGGTTTCGCTGCTCGCGCATGCGCACAAGCGCCAAATCGCACCACGCACCTGCGCAGATACAGTGCTTCAGGTTGCGCTCTTTTCATGTTGCGAGTGGGTATCCAGAATGGATCCCGTTCGCGACCAGAGGTACCACTGCAAATACAAATTAGATTCTAGTGCTATAACCAGATGGCAATTTTTCACACATACCTGCAGTTCCTTAACAACTCGCTTGATGAGGTACGTCCCCAGCTCCACACCCTGCAGGCCCTGCTGAGTCAAGCTGATTGAATAGAAAATTGCAGTAGTGATTTTGTTCAGATCCTCAACTTCTAAGGGGGGAATCTCCTTCACTATGGCCTAGAGAAAAATTAACCATAAGTAACATTAGTAACTGCAATCACCATCAAAATTCAACAATTTCACATTCTATAACCCACTGAATCCTACATAAGCCAAAATCCTGTGACCCAGAAGACTTGCTTTGCATACTCAGCTGTCATGTTGAGAGTTTAACAAGCAGCTCATGGTGCAGCATTAGGGCTTGATAATAGGAAAACACAAGATGTCAGTGCTCAACTGGGCATGTGCAAGCCCTTCTGTTTGCCTAAAGAAAGTCTCAGGACAATGGCCAAAGTTTGCTTAAGTCTCCTATTTTCATCAACAGAGTGTAATATTGCTGTGAAGTATGAGCAGTAGCCTAATGCCTAACACTTTACAGGGCTAAAATGACAACTATTTAATTCTCTGCTACACTGGCTGAATTTGAACATCACACCAAACCACTGCTTGCACTAATCATAGTTCAGAGCTGCTTGTTTGTTTGTGTTTTGCTACTATTCAGCCCTCTCAACCTTGTGTTCAAGCGGCTTCCAGAAGGCAGAGCAACAGCCTCAACTATGGTTTGTCAATTCAGACTTCATACACTGTTCTGAAACCCAACAGGACAAAGAGAAGTATATAAAATGCTTTAACAAATAAACCTTAATTCAAATCAGTTTGCAAATCTACATTAAGCTTGCTTTTGTAATTCTGGTTCAGACGATCTGGACACCACATGTAACTATGAATCTTCCTTAATTCTAATTATTATCTCTATGGACAGTTCCAAGAAATTTCACAAGAAAATCTTACTTCTAAAGATAACATGCATAAAAGCACTTGCTGCTCTGTTTGATGACTTTCAAAAATATTTGTAAACAAAGGAATAAGAGACATCTAAGAAATAGTATTAAGACAGGCCAATCACTTCCTTAGTCATCAATACAGAGCAACAATTCACTCTAGGCGACTAAGCATGGAAGCTTCATGAACAATTATTATTAATGATATATTTTTCTTCTTCTTGACCACAAATGATTAACAGAGGTTAGTATAGACAAATGAGCTACTTAACATGCTCACAAAAGCAATTTTTTCATGGAATTACTTGAAATTTTATATTAAGACATTTGTTTCAATCACAAGTTTTCACTTAGAAAATACTGCTTGATTATGTTCAGGTACTTTATTTCCAAGAATCTGCTTGGAAGTGTTCCATGGTCACATGCTCAAGGCCTGATGATTAACGTGCAACAAAATTTTTCACAAATTAAGTCGAGCAACTATACCTGGATGCTGCTAGATATCTCATCTGTAAGTGCAACATGCAGAACAACCAACGGCTCACCAGGTATTGCACAGTGGGCAAAGTAATAGCACCTTCTGTAAGATCCAACACGGCGTTTCATGTCCATCCAGTTTCTAACAGGATGTACAGCTTCACTACTGGGGGGAAAAATAACAATTACATTTTAACACAGAGAGAAGACATTCACAAAGGTCTGCTCTCTCCCCTAGATTTATTTTGTCATGCAACCTTGAATCTGCATGTGTACATGACTTCCTGAACTTTTAAAAAAGAAGCCACCAGCAATTCTTGGCACTTACTCGCTAATCTTTTGAAGAATCTCACAAGGCGACTGCCATGTAACTCGCTCTAAATTTAGGAATCCTGTGGAAAACCATTCTGACAGCATGTTCTTTAACACTCCATTCATTTCCTAAAAATAAGAGGGGGGAAACCATTTGATCAATTCAGCAGTAGAAGCAGCATAACAACATAGTTTCATGTAAGAGGATTGCTTACAGCACTAAACTATTGGCATCTATTCAAAATGAAACCCCCACTGAGTTCAATGAGATTTGCTCCCAGGTAAATACCTGCAGGACTAGAGTCTTAGTCTTCTATTATATTCAATATAAATTATAATGACTAGTCTTCACTCAAATAAGTATTTCATTATTATGTTGAAGCATTTCTATGCAGAAAAGAGATCAGTAAAGTCACACGTCAATATTTTTAAAATCCAACAACAATAACCAACAGATTTTTAAAGTAACAGATTAAAGGGGGCCAAAGCTCAAGATTTAAGAACAGAGAGGTCTTTGCCTGGTGCCTGAAATTGTGGGTGCCATGCAAGCTTTGCTGGAAGCTGGAGGGCGGTTCCCTAAATTGAGTGTTATAATTGAGCAGGTCCTTTCTCTGGTCACTACCCACCTCACTTCAGATGACAGGAACACTGCTTGCATGTTTTGACAATCACTTTTTTCCAACTGAATTAAATTTAATGGTCTTTCACAGCCTACTCTATATATACTTCCTGGAGAATTCTGGCAGAAGGACATGATAGGAGAAATATAATTAAATGTGATGCAATCACCAGCTTATGTGTTAACTTTAGATAACAGCCTTTCCAAAAACAGAAAAAGGAGGCAAGGAGTTATATTTTTTTTAAAAAACCATTTTTATTTATGTATGTATAAATAAAGCAAGAAGCTATGTTTGATCCCTGCAGCAGTATTTCTCAAGTGCAGCTTAGGTAACCTGTCTGCTAGCCCATCCTAGCCAATGGTCGATTATGAGCTCTGCTGTACTGTTTAAGGCCAATGCATGGAGGATCAGGCAAAACTATGCCTCCTACTGCCACACATTTGTGGACTAGGAGGTTGTTGGAAAGGAGATGAAGATACCCTGCAGCTGTGGCCCTGTTCACACTGATGAAATCATGTCAAACCGTGAGGGACCTTGGCAGACATCCTTGCAAGTCCTCTGGCATAGTAAGATGTTTTTCAACTGGTGTGCAGAATGTAAACTGAATAAAACATTTAAAAACCCATACAAAAGTGTCTGTTTATAGAAATAAAGGTGCCCACCAATGAACAGTGTAGTAAGTGACAGCTGCCACAAGTTATCACCCCTTGCAATGTCAGCTGGAGCATCACTGCTCCAAAGGGACATCAGCTGCTGAGGGTTTAGCATCAAGGCAACTCAACCTCTTGGGAAGCATAGTAAAAAAAGCTCTCCTGCCTGTCTTGGTAGTTGAATTTGCTGCAATTTATGGCTAGACTCAGAATGACCTTGGGAGCATTTTCTAGTGCAGTCAGTTACTGGCTTTCCAAAGAATCCCCTAGAGTTTCATTCCCAACACTGCATTGTTGTATGAAGTATATGCTTAAAAACAAGTTTACTGGGGATGTGGTGGGGGAACAGACTAAGTAATTTTAAAATAAACACAAAATAGTGGAGACTGACCTGAGGCTTGTAATGAATAGAGAACAGCTAACAATCCTTCTTGAAATATTTTACAGCTAGCAATTCCTACTTTTTTGAATGGTAATATTGCTATAATACAGAGCAAACGTTTAACATTCTCTGAAACCATGTATGAGGGTGTATTTGTTAAGTGTCTGCAAATTGTTGAAGGGGGTGATCCATAAAAATACTGTTTAGATTCCTCTGCCACAGACCCCAGTTTAAGCAAATAAATATAGAGGGACATTTTACAGAAAATAACAATTCAACCAGCAGGAGACATTAGGGTGATGAGGTAGTTTGCCGCTACAAAATACTCAGGACATCCTCACCTACCTGATGATTTATTGAAAAATGCACAGCACAGTTTCATGAACTGAGATCTCAGAACAATCTCAGCAAAGCACAGACATCTGCCATAATGCTCTTACAAGAATAAAAAATGAAGTACTTAAAGGAATACATCAGAGAGTTTTCACTTGACCAAGGTAATTACTTCCAAAACCCCAAAATGAAAGCTTTTCTATCAAAAACAACAGATTATCCTTTTATACACTATATTCGCTACTGGATTAGTATACTAGCTCTGAGTAGTATACACCATAGACATACTTCATTCTACAGTAATCCATCGATGGCATTAAGTTAAATTAATTATTGTCTCCCGAAAGACACCAGAGCAGCAAAAGTCAATTTTATATCCTAGCTCTAAATGCTTCATTCACAGATACACACATTTTGTTTAAACTTAAATTAACTACTCTGTTCCACATTAAGACAGATACAGTGGTTAAGGAGTTAATTCGTTCCGGAGGTCCGTTCTTAACCTGAAACTGTTCTTAACCTGAAGCACCACTTTAGCTAATGGGGCCTCCCGCTGCAGCCGTGCCGTCGCCATGCGATTTCTGTTCTCATCCTGAAGCAAAGTTCTTAACCCGAGGTGCTACTTCCCGGTTAGCGGAGTCTGTAACCTGAAGCGTTTGTAACCCGAGGTACCACTGTACTTCCTTTAATTATGTCTATTAACTCTCTCTTTTCAGAATTGGCAATATCAAGTTTGGTGCTTTCCTTTCTGTATGCAAATTATGTTCTGAGTGTCATAAATATCAAATAAATTTAACATCACAGTCCCAATGGTGGTGCCCTCAGAATCCTATCAGAGCATCCACCAAGCTTTTTAATTACATCCAGGCCAAATTACAAATTATAATGGCAACAGTCAAATTTCTGCTTCATTTCCCTCCCCCTCCCCCAAATTGTTTGCTTTGCCCTCCTACCATTCTGATTGGCCAGAAGACTTGAAAAAGAGGAGAGATAATAGTTATATCTGTTGGGGGTAGTCAGTTAGAACTGTTCTTTCTCCTAATTGGATGCCATCAGGAAAGAGAACAGTTCCAATCGTAAACTACCAGAAATATGACACGTTGATGCCAAAGAGAAGAAGTACAATGTAGCAGCTGTGCCTTAGTGCAAGGCAGATAGCTAAAGGGGGAAAGGAAGAGCATCTAGGAGCAAGAGAGTCCATGTATGCAACAGAAGTGTTCTCTTTGCCTTGTAATGGAAAAGTCAAGGCAACAATCCCCAAAATATTCCACAGAAAGCAGAAAAGCTTCAGCAGCATGTCTGCTGTAGACAAAACAAACTCTCAACGATCAGGAAGAACCTGTTACTGTTCTGAGTCTACTAACTCCAAATCAGTAAGAGAAACTGAAAACCTAATGCCTCCAGAATTAACATTCTTGTCCTTCACAAGAAGTCTAGCTCAGATGGCAAGACATGAATCCAGATAGAATTTCTACAGCATCACATATGAGGCAGAAAATTATTGTTCTTTCCAAAAACCTAAGAAACATATTTAATGAGTATGGTCAATGTATTTCTTATATAAGCTCATTATTAGGGAAGAAAGTCTGGAATACTTTTTGCTTTATGCTGCTTCTACTTCCTAATACACAATTTAATATTTTCTGGGTTACCTAATCCTGGACCAACGCAAGTGATTCTTGCACAGTCATATGCAGACAGCCTTCTGTATATGAGGATCATGTTTTTAATGTGCGACAATATAATATCATTTGCCAACTCCTAAAACCAAGCACAAGGAAGCTTCATTAGAACAAAAGGGTAGCCCTCCTTCCCAATTTAGGTTGGGGATGATGGGGTAATGGAGAAACAATCAGTTGTGAACCATTGACTTAATGCATAAAAATTAAAGCAGTTCTAACTTCCATTAAGAAAACCCCAGAATATTGTAATGCAGGTTGTCATTAATTTGAGTTACTTGGAGTTAACTACCTTTTCTCTAAATTAACGTTTGAAGACTACTAGTGAAGTTGCAGTTGTGGATCTGGATGTTCCTGTAGTAAAGGGAGATAATAGCAGCAGAACTGAGAATACATGCAAACTTCTATATTTGGTACAGGGCTGCTTGCTTCTGTTATATTTCTGTATTTTGGATCTACTAGTGGCAATATGGTCTCCATATGTTTTGTGCTGCTTTAAAATGTTGATTTTTATTGTAGTTTCTGTGTTTGTTTCTGATGTTTTTATTATGTAAACCACTCTGCGATTTCTTTGAAATATCAAGCAGTATATAAATCACCTAAATAAATAAATAAATAAATAAATAATTGTCCGCTTCTATAATGGATATGTAATAGCACACAAGGGTTGCCATGATGCATGTAAACCTAAATGAGCAATTTATAAAATCAGAATTTCAAGCTGTTAGCTCCTTGCAAAGGACACTTTGAAAGTTATTGTCCTCATTGAAATATATGTAACAGCAAAATCTCCTCTTGACTGTTTGCCTTATTTAAATATTGAGCTAGAATTTCTACAATCCCTGTTTCACTTGCAAAGGTCTGACTGCTTAGTCAGATACTGGTGTCAAGACCATTTTTAGAAACAATATTATTGTGCTGTCCACATGGTTTACTATTGTTTTGACTACGGAGATGTGTAAAACTTTATAGGCGATGAGACTTAAAGAGGAGCTCTGGGGCACATCATGCCTTGAAAGAAAAGCAAAATCTCCTTGGCGCTTAAAAACAGATGGTCTTCCATGCTACCAAAGGACATTTTTTATACTCTCAGGGAAATTCTTTTTACCATAAAATGTACAGTTGAACTTTTGCTGGTAGATATGCCTGAATAGAAGCGCTGTACCTAGGTCACAAGAATCTATCATCTTCCACAAATTCAGCAGGAAGACATTTACTGTTTCTTAGCAACTAGTCACTAAGGAGTAGAGTCATTTTCTCTGGGCCATTGCTCTTGATCCTGGTGACTGTTTAACCTTAGAATACTATCCTTGAATACAAATCTATCCATATTTTGAGGGATGTGCATTCTCTCTCGATATAAACTCCACTATTCATTGTTCACATAATGCAGCATTCAACATTTCTACTTATATGCTCCGAGCTATAGGAACAGGCTACAGTTCTACTGCTGCCGAGGACAATTTGTTCATCATGAGTAGTAGGGCTCCAATGACCTCAGCCTCGGTCACACTAGCAAGACCAGCAAGATGAGGACTACAAATCATGTCTAAAAACATATAATTCAGTCATATTCCAACAGCACTTGTATCTTGATGACCAAACAATCTTATTTATGACTGCAATATACTCAGTCATGCATTGGATAGAAGTAGTGCCATTAAGGGAGAGAATAAATAAATGCTGTGAACGTGTGGAAACTATTGCTGGTGATGGCCTCATCCTACAAGATGCTGTAGCAGCTCCTGGGATTATGTATGAAAATTCCAGAACTCACAATAGGCCACCTCAGCAGTCACTGACTCTACTACACTAGTATTTTTTGCCCTGTCCTGGCTGCAGCATACTAATGCAGCACAAGAGGACTCACTTGATCAGTGCTTGGGCATGTAAGAAGCTCAACAAGATATGTTAAAACGCCATTTGATGGCTCAAAAGCAGGATCTTCAACAAGGATTAACTGTTCTCCTGACACATATGGCAGAACTGCTACTCTACAGGAAGCTATTTAGACTGAAGTTACTAAAGCACGTTTATAGGATAAGGCTTCTGGAGCTTCCAATTTGTAGTGCTGAATTAACCAGATATAAAACCACATATAACTATAGCACAGTGTGTCATTTTAAAATGACGTTTTGGGAACATTCTGTTTGCTCCTGCTAAACTGTATCTATGTGGATGGGGGAAAATATTTAACCGCTGATGCTGTCATCTTTTAGAAAGGCTACTAGTTAGCTGAGAGGAGCTGCAACCAAAAAATATAGGTCCAGGAAAAGGGTACCAATTTCTGGGTATCTATACAATAATGGAACTAAACAGTAGTGTTATTCAGTGTCTCTGTCCAGGGGGCTGGGGATCAGCATTCGCTGCCAGCCTACCACTGCCAAAGGACACTGCTGGAACAAACCAGTGAAGAAGGAAGAAGGACTTGCGTTCTGAACATTATTCCTACACTCTGAACTAGATATATAATACTTGTAATTATAAACAGCTTGCTTCTTACAAGTATGAGCTGTACAATATGCAGCAGGTATTATGAAAACAATTTTTCTCAACAGACTCTCCAGTCAAACTTCTTAAAATCTAGAGTATATGTCGTGTATCTTGCCTAACATCAAGGCTATTGCAGAAATAGTTGGATTGCACCTCTTGCGTTTCGTTCAGCATTCGCTGCAAAGGCCAAGAATATTATCAGCACATCATGTGCTGATCTGAAGCAGCTGAAAACAGAACTTTGGCACTGACACACAAACTTTGCCCTAGTAAGCGTTGTCTGCCAGTGCTGTATATGAGTATCTGACATTGTACACACATAACTGTGTGACCATTCCACACACCCCCTCCCACGTATTGCATGAATGAACCTGCCCCCATTTACCCCATCTCACCCTGGTCTAACATCCCATACATATAAGGAACAAATATGTGTCAAATTTTCACTCTCCTGAATTTTTAAAAAACTTTTCCCTATATGTTGGGAAGGGAACTTCTGTGGCAGGGAGCCTGATGTACTCATGTAGTCTCCCCACAAGGTTTAGAACCCTGATCTTTGGTGCAGGAGTAGGCATTGAGGTAGGACTGAAGAGTTTGAGAAGTGTGAAATAGAACATAGTTTATATTTTGTGGTAGGATAAGTTGTAGTAATAGTCCACTTCAGGTGCTGAAACCTTATGGGATGAAGGGGACAGTGGGGATGAGCCTTTTGACCCTGATGCTGGCTTCATCAACTTTAACATTTTGGGAAGGGAACTTCTGTCACGGGGAGCCTTCTCTTCACTACCAGCATTTATCTGCATCTATAGAATGCCCCATCAGATCTAGTTAAAAGCAACAACACCCAAGCAGAATAAAATGCAATCACATCATGGATTCTAAACTTCACTCAAATGGAGAGCAAAGACTCCCAGGGCAATGAAGTAAAGAGTGGGTCAGATCAAACTGGTAGGCTTCATGACATTTCCAAAGCTTGTCAGGCTGTTCACTCTTCCTGCAGGCCTCACTTCCATACTTTTAACAGCAGCCTGCCACAAAAGCAAACCAGGCGATGTTCTTGGCATGAAGTTCCAGGAAGGTCATCACCTGCTTAATTTCAGTGTATCAGATTGCAGCAGCACAGAAATAGAGCTATAAAAAACTGGGGAATGTGCAATCTAGAAAGATATGCAGATTTGGACTACACTGAGTCTTCAGTCAGAGGAAAAACTGACTGGAGATGTAAGCTGTCAAGAACGCCTCCCTTTGCACCATTGATTTCTTCACCTCCTACCTCAAAGTTATGCTGTTCAACTGAATACTGTTTTTACCTCTACAGCACTAAAATTTGGGGTTGCCCAAAAAGACTGACCTAAAGTAGCACAGATGAGACAGAGTCCTTCACACAATTTATCATTAACTTATGGCTTTGACACAAGATTATGTTGATGGCTTCTGGTTGAGATGACTTTTAAAAATTAAGACAGCCTTATCAACCTCACAGGGCTGTTGTATACATTCGCCACCCAAATAGCTTAAAGTTCTTTGGCTTATAATAAACAAGTTTATGAAGCAATTTAAATAAAAATAAGACACATATTCAAAAATAATACAACCCCCAAAGTTAAAACACTGAAGAACTATGGGTGCAAGAATATAAAACAGTGATATATGCCATTTAAATAATAATAATTATGATAAACGTCAATGAATTTCTGCCTGCAAGGCTGTTTTTAAAGGAGTTGGAGCTGCAGAGGATGTTTACCTTTCCCATTACCGTACATGCAAACAAACCTCACTTCAGACCACATTTTATTGATATATGTGTGTTGCTGTTGTTTTAAATAAAAATAGCTTTAACTTAATCCGTTTAAAATTAATACTGGGAGGCGCCTTGGGTCTTCCACTGGGAGAAAGGCGGGATGTAAATAAAGCTATTAATGAATACATTGTAAGCCGCTTACGAGATTTGTAACAGTAGGCGGTACGAAATATGGGCTGCAACCAACTAAGCCTTATTCAAGAGTAGACACACTGAAATTAATAGACATGGCGAAATTGCGTCCCTGAGTTTTCCGCTGGTCTCCTCTGAGTTACACACACATATCTGAATGTAAGGAAAGAGAAACCCTCCCGGGGCTCACCCTGACATGCGGCCCTTCGGCCTCCCTGGCAGCCAGGGCTTCGAGCAGGTCCCTGCGGAGCTCCACCAGGAAGCGGAGGCCGCCCTCCTGCCTGCCGAGGTGCTGGAAGAGGCCCCGGTAGCGCGGCGTGAGGTAGTGGCGGAGCCGGTCCTCGGCCTGCAGGAGGGCGCCGGGTTCGTGCTCCCCTTTCTCCCCAGCTGCCTCCTGTTGTTGCTGCTGCTGCTGCAGCAGCCGGGCCACTTTCCCGCTCACTTCGGCCACCCGGCCGTGCTCGACGCCGAAGTCGCGGGCCAGGCGGCTCAGCAGCTCGGCCCTCGGCCTGCCGCTCTCCAGGGCGCGGTAGTAGCGCATGAACTCCGCGCTGCGCTGCTCCAGGGCGGCCCCGGCTGGCGCCGCCACTTTCTCCCGGGTCTCGTAAGGCGGCAGTGGCGGGACCGCGCGGCTCAGAGCTTCTTCCATGGCCGTCGGGCCTGGGAAGGCTGCGGTTGCCATGGCGACGGCGCTAGGCCGCGGCCTGCCGGAAGAGCGGAGAACGAGGTGGCGGAACAGCTGGTGCTGCGCCGATGCCACGCACGGCCCCGCGCGGCGCATTATAAAGCCCAGCGAACCTTTTCCCTCGTTTGTCGGAATCCCAAATTCGGTATACACTCGGGCGAGTCAATGGGGCGGGAGGCCTTCCTCTAAGCACTCTCAGGGGGCGGAAGAAAAACAAAGAAGGGGATTGGACTACTGAGGTCGCCATGTCTTGTCGCGGCCAATAGCAACAGACTAGGGGCGGAGGAAACATGTAAGCCGTCCCGAGTGTGGCGGAACTTGCCTCAGCAAGGAGATCTCTGCCATGTTGAGAGTGGCAAAGGTGGGGCGGGGGTGTGGAACCGCCTAATTCTATCCCTAGCCCTCAACTTCAAAAAGAATATAGATCTAGAAAATACAAGACAATATTCTGAAAGTACAAAAGAGGCTTTCCCAATTTAGTGCCTCCCTAGGAAATTTGGAAACCAGCTCCTATATTCCGAAACTACAAAACAGACTTTCCCAATCAAGTGCCTTCCTAGGAAGCTGTTATATAGAAGAAAGATCAGCAACTCTGTTCAAGAAGACCCCGTGTGCAGCAACTGTGGAAATAAAGATGAAGTCCATTCCAAGAGTACATTAGGTAAGGAACTGAAAATGAAACTGCAAAGAGGATGTCATCACACAGACAACTGGATCTGGCTGTGGAGCAACATCACTAAGAATGAACAAACCTGATTCTAGGCGAGGGCAATGCTTCCTCAATAGGGTTGACCTGAACTAGCTTTGAAATTTATCAAAGACTTTTCGTTTGCAGAAAAGGAGAGTTAGAAGTGTCGTGACAGAAGTTTGTAAAACTATGCATGGCATGGAGAAAGTGGCTAGAGAACATTTTTTCTCCCTTTCACTTAACACCAGGGCATCCAAATAAAACACTTCTTCATGCAGCATGTAAGTAAACTATGGAATTTGCTGCCATCAAGAGATTGTGATGGTCACCACCTTGTATGGCATTAAAATAAAATTACCTTCATGGAAGATAAGGCTATCAGTGGCTACTAGCCATGATGGCTGTGCCAGAGCCTCCAAAGTCATGTGCAGTAATGTTCCTGAATATCAGTTCCTAGAAAGTGCAGGAAGCAAGAATTCTCAGGTCCTGCTTGCAGGTTTCCCACGGACAGGTTCGTGCAGAGGGGAGGGGACATCTGGACACACTTGACCTCGGCCTCGGAAGGCTAAGCCAATTGGCTGCTTTTTCTTCTTCGGTTAGTTTATAACTTTGGCCACTGTGAGAACAAGCAATGGTGGTCTGGGATGTTCTTCTGGGGGCTTCCATCTGACAGACTTAGGCACTGTGTTCTCCTGATCTCCAGCAATCAGCTCAGGACCCTGAACTTGGCCTGCCTCTTTGAATTGGTGCTGGATTTATGGGCCATGACAGGTTTACAGCAAACACTTGAGGAGGGCTATTATCAGATGGTAATGGGCAGCTTACAGAAAGATATAAGCTCCTAGACACTTCCTGCCCTTAGGTTCACAATCTAAGAAGATAAGAGGCAAGGAATGAGAGGTAGGAGGGGAAAGCAATCTCAAGCACATGTTCTTAAATCTGTAGCCAATGTCAGTGGTGAGTCTGGCGGTCCTGCCCTTAAGAATATAAGAAGAGGCATGCCGGATCAGGACATTGGCCCATTGAGTTCGGCATCCCCACAGTGGCCAACGAGATGTCTATGGGAAACCCAAAGCAGAACCTGAACACAACAACTCTACCCACCTGTGATTCCCAGCAATTGGCATTCACCGCCTCTGACTGTGGAGGTAGAACATAATGATCATGGCCCTAAATAAAGAACAGCCCCTCCTCTGAAGCACTCATCCCCTGAGACCAAATCCAGAAGCAGAACTAGTGACACTGCCCAGCTTCTGCCACATAATTGTTCCCTAGATAGCTTCTGAGCACAGGAGCATTTCAGGCTGGTTTTTGTTCCAGGTCAGTTGGCAACTTTGTTGACAGCACTGTATTAGGAAACTTTGACACACAACAAAACTCACCGTCACCCTGGAAGCAGTCTGCCAAAAGTATACACGGGGCTAATTTTGTGACTTGAAAATGTGCTCAACGAAAGCAAGCATAGCTGGTCTGGATGCATGAAAGGGGCTGCACATTCCAGGGCTATTGCAGTTGCTGGTCAAGCATTTGAACCTGGGTCTACCCAGCTGCAGAATTACAATCTTGAAAGGTCTGAGGTGGATGGGTGGAAAGCTTGATGGCATTCAGTCTTTGATTGCTGGATGACATTTCCCTCTCTCTTTCCCCACTTCCCCTTCCAAAGGTTCTCCAACTTTCCAAAGGTTAAAGTTCTGTTTGCAGATTCTGGACCAAATTAATTTCCACTGGAACACAGGTCACAGGAGTCAGATTTCAGAATACTTCTGTAATTTGGCACAGTCATCTGCAATTTCCCTGCCTCTGAACATAACAGCAGAGCGGTTAAATTAACAGCTCGATACAATGCGGGTGAAGTTCTGCCTGAACGTTAGCCTTCTCAGAGGATAAATGACCTGGAGCCCCTTGGAAATCAAAGTCCTTTATTACAAAAGACCTGACAAGAAGTAATCGGTTTCAGGACGGAGGCTGTTACATTGTCTACCAATGACCTTAATTTCAACCTTTTGGGAGCAATCTTTCCTTCCTCTTGACTCCTTGAAATTGAATGGCTATAACTAAATTAGGCCACTTGGAAGAGTTCTGTAAGGCACACAACGAAAGCATCCCAACACAGATGGGTTTGTTTGTTTGTTTGTTTGTTTTGGAGAGCAATTTGATCAGATGCTGGCATTTGGGAGAAACTTACGGTTGTAGACCAGGAGTTCTTAAACCACTGAGATTTGGTCTGTTGGAGAAGGAACAGGTATAGGTGTAGTGTAAAAGCTGAGAGATTGAGCTATGAATTAGAACAAGAAGGGAGAGCCTTTTGAGGGCCACGTCCTTTCATTGTCAACCTTTTGGGGACCACATGCCCATGTTGGGTGAAGCCAGATGCAAAAGTGGACAGAGCAATGGATGTGACTCATACCTTTGTATGACAGGCTGCATTCCTGCTGTGCAAAAACCAGAGGTTTCTAAGCACACACTCCAACTATCTCTCCATCCTTCCCAGCAAGCAAGAGGTATTATCACAGTTGAAGGACACATTTCTAGCCACACAAAAGCACTTTGAAGGTGAGCCTACCTAACTTGCACTTTCGGAAACAGTATACAAACAGGGATGCACCATCCTTCGAAACATTCCCTTCTGAGAATTTTAACAAGTGCAGTTCTCCAGCCAAGTCATATGTGCATAAAGCTTGCATGAAAATTCATATGTATCAATGAAAATAATATGCAAAAATGTGTGATATTAATGGAAGCTGCTTTTATATTGGGAAGAAGTAAGTCTTAGGATAAATCTGCACTGCAATACTGATGTATTTTCATGAGAATTATATAATTTTAAGTTGTCTTTAAACTGTTTTTAATATTGTGTTTCAGTGTTGTGATCCGCCCTGGGACTTTAGGCTGAAGGGTGGGTGATAAATTGAATGATTGTCATCATTATCAACTGATGTGGGAATGTGGAGAACTGAACTTGAAACTGGGAGAAACTGAGAAACTGAAATTGATGGATTCACCTGGGGCTAAATGCAACCCAGGCATCTATTGTCTTCAAGCAACTGTACACTTCTAAACTGAAACTAGTTTGGGTTTTTTCCCTCCTCTGTGCCCATGGGTATTCAAAAATAAGACAACATTATTATTACAAAGGAAGACAAACGGAGGCTGTGTTAGAGGCTCAAGCAATTAAAGAATCTTTTTTTTTCTTTCAAAAAAACACCTAATTGCTCTTCTGCTTCATTCTCAATAATCAAAGGCTTTTGTTCTCCGACACCATTTCTCCTTTGTTTCTGCGCGTGGATTCATGAAGACATCTCTGAGCGAGTCAAACAAATGGAATTGTCGGGCAGACGTACTGCTCTCTGCTCCTCCCTTTCATCCGGGATGGCAAAGTGTTTTATAAAGATGATTTAAATATGCAGAAATGCTTGTGAGCTAGGTAAGCACCACAATTAATACTAATAGGCTCATTTGATGTGCTTCTCAAACAGCTGCCTGTTTTGCAGATGGATATCAAGGGAGAGGAGGTTGCAGTTGCTCTTTCAGAAACTATTGGCAACATGCTGAGCCAAATCACAGAATTCAAGGGTCCACAGTTCCCAATGGAATTCAGCTGGGCTTGCTTCTGAGTGACACAGAAATCTGCCACTGGGAATTGTGACAGTGGGGACCTTTTCTGAACCAAGCAAGCCAGTTAGGTGCTAAGTATTGATACAATCCACCCCAATCTCCAAGCAGTGAGAGACTCTGGGGTTCCAAGCACTTATCAAGGCTTATATACTGTATTGCATCTATTTATTGCATTTTTATATCCCACCTTTTTCTTCAAGGGATTCAAGATGACATACATGGTTCTCCCCCTTTTCCTGTCATCCTATCTGCCCATCTGCTTGTTTTTAATACTGGAAGAAAATAGTACATACAGAAAAAAGCATACTTGTTATGTATGTTGTGTATAGAAGAAATAATATGGCTGGATGTTTTCTAGTATTCTGATAGTTATTTTATATTCTAACGATTATTATTATTATTATTCTTACAATCCAGCTAAGATGCTGCAAAATGTAAAGAGATCCAGGACTTCCCCAGTCTGTCTTAATACAGATTCTATTCACTATTAAAAGACAAACAACTCTTATGAAATCCTCAGCTAAACTTGCACACACACACCCCCAATAGCAGAATTGTATGGTAATAACATATCAGACCATTTTCCCTCCTTCCCTTTCTTAAAAAAAAGTCACCACTCTTACTTATTTAGCAAGTGCTCTGTAGCTTTCCCTTATTTTACAGCCCGTGCTTGAGGAAAATAAATCTTAATAGCAGTCATTTCCTTGTGAAAATTCACCCCAACCTCCTAAAACTCCTAGATGTTTCCTGGGGTGGCAGCAGTCAGCCAAAACCTGCTCCATGCACTAGAATAGAGGAGACTGTACATTCATCAAGACCTTTATGTGTCATTTTGCTTATGTTACTAGATTCAGGTAGGTAGTCATGTTGGTTCGAAATAAAATTAAAAAATTGTCCAGTTGCACCTTAGAGACCAACTAAGTTTGTTCTGGGTATAAGCTTTCGTGTGTGTATCTGAAGAAGTGTGCATGCACACGAAAGCTTATACCCAGAACAAACTTAGTTGGTCTCTAAGATGCTGCTGGACATTTTTTTAAATTTTTTGCTTATGTTAGTTACTGCATACACAGCACATAAAAGATTAAACCATAGTTTAGTATTATAGGGATGAGCTGCTATATACCTCAGGCTACCCTTCCCTGCCCCCTTCTCTAGGATGGCTATGAGGAGATTGGGAGCTTTCACTACTGTTGTAGCTTAACAAACTACAGTGTTGTAGTTTGGGGGGGGGGGTTCTGGCAGGGGAGCGTTGCCATCATATGCTCTTGACTTAAGAGTGGCACGGTCCTATCTGGGATGGTCATCTTCCACCGAGCATGCCACTTCAAGAGAGATGCACATGGAGGAATGAGAAGGGAACACCCGCCTGCTAGCCAGGTCTGTGGTGTGCGGTAGATGACTTATGGCCTTTTGCATAGCAACCAGCTCAACTCTTCTCAGCCAATCAGAAGATGTTGAAGCTGTAACTCTCCAGAACTGAGAGTCTACGGTTTTCTTGTGACTGGAGCTGAATAATGTTTCCCCAATTAATGGACTGGCCATCTGGACCTTGAAGGCCTGGTACAAGATTACCAGATGCAAGTAATTATGAGTGCTTGCAACTAGAAAGGGGGGGGTCTGCTTTCTTTTAATCTCAACTCTTACCCAGAAGCCTAAGTGTCTTACTGAACCAAATGCATGAGCCCAGTATCTTGACACACTGCAGTCAAGTTTAGAGTGGTGCAGAACAGACTAGGGTGGACACACAGCTTTGCACTCCAACCATCTCACTGTTGTCTCCACCCACAACCAATGGCCACCTGAAGTTTCCACCTTACTCTGCCTAACAAGGACATAAAAAGAGCCCTTCAGGGTCAGACCAAAGGGTCACCCAGTCCTGAATCCTGTTCTCACAGTGGCCAGCCAGTTGCCCCTATGGGAAGCCCGCAATCAGGACCTGAGCATGACGGCCTTCTCCCTAGCTGTGGTTCTCAGAAACTGGCATTCAGAGCTTGTAGCCATTGGTAGCTTTCTCCTCCATGAATGTATCTAATCTTCTCTCAAAGCTGTCCAGGTGGGTGGCTGCTATGATATTGTATAGGATATAATGGTGGGACCAGCCCTGATCCCTATACCTGGAGCTTCCCACTTTTTGTAGAATTGGGGATCTGAAATAACCGTATGCATCTTCTACTGTTTTCCCTGGAAATGCGAGAACTCTTGGAAGCACTTTGCATCCGATTTACGTCCGCTCTGTGTCAGCCGTCTGTTTCCCATTCCTGTGGGTTTGCTTTTTTCACCTCCCGCCTCATCCTTTTTAAAGCTTATTCTGTTTGCTTGCCTTTTAATTGTTCCATCAATTAAGATGTTTTAAATGGGCTCGCATTCATGCCTCAAATTAAGCTGGTTTTGTTTCCAGCTTTTCTTTCAATTACTCCTGTAATTAAAGCTTCCTGGAAGCATAGCGGGAAGTAGAGATGGCATCCAATTCTTTCTCTCCTTTTGGTCACCTGAATATTCAAACGGCTACCACTCATCTCAGAAACAGCAGGTACTGAGGGAATGGCAACTTCTGTGTACTTTCGAACAGAACGGAGCATTTCTTTCTTTTTCTTTTTTCCCCCCAGAACAACAGCCTTGTCATCCCAGGGGGGGAGGGGATGCTTCGGAGGCCGTCTGGAGAGCCTTCGCTTAATTATGCAAATCTGGTCTTAGAAGAAACTTTTTAAAAATGCAAAGCCCGCATTTCCCATTTGAAGCAAAATGTTTTAATCAAGTCAGCCTGCTTTGTTGTTCCCCTCTCGCCAGCCAACGTCAATTTAGGTTTTTAAATATTTGATTAGTGTCGATGTTCATCCCGGCTACATCGTGGGAGCTGAAGTTTGAAGTAGTAGATCTTTCACTTGGAAGGCTTCAAGACAATGAGAGCTAATTTTCCCTGACACTTAACAACTTGCCAGAGATATTGCCCTGGAGGTGAGCTGTGCCTGAGACAGGAAGATGTGCCAAAGGGTGGAAATATGTGCTAATAAAGTCTAAAACATATGAAGCGAGCACTAGGCACAGGAGCATCGGCTGAATGCAAGGTTGGCAGCAGGGCAGGGCTCCAATGTTGCTTCAGCAAGCATCTGGCCTGGGTAGGCCCACTCATGAGACTCAGTGAGGTACCGGTAGTTGCCTCAGGGGGCAGGCAGGGAACAGCAAGGAGGGGCAGCAGACCTGGCCCCCAAGGAGCACACTGCTCAATGCCACCTGAGCTTTTTGCCTGCCTCCTCTCTCCTCAACACATAAAATCTATTTCATGGAGTATGAGGAACCCCACAAAGTACACACAGCAATGCCACTCCCTGCCCTATAGCACCTGCCACTTGAGGCTGCTGCCTCATGGTAGAGCAGGCCCCACCAAGCCACAGCTGTTCTGGTGATTCTTGAGTAACTCTACTCTTGCATAAAGCTTCCAGCTCTTCCCACCTCTTTACAACAGGGGTAAGGAATATATGCAACTGTTTTATATTATATACTGTCTGCTTGTGTGTGTACCCGTGTTGGATTTTCCAAAGCTGTCGAGTTTACAAAGTAAAACCATAGCATAAACCGTGCTTTGTTTGAAAGCCCAGAGTGGAAGCAAACGTTCATCATCCAAGCAAATGAATGCAGCATTTAATACAGCTGAAGCCACGAAGTTAGTTTCTGACAAGTCCGTTTTGGCATCTGTCACGAGAAAACTGTTAGTTGTGTTGGGGTTTCTGAGTGAGTTGTCATATCTCTGCCCTTCTTTGTACCGTGATGGGTCAGAGAATAAAGTCAACAGCCGGCGCGAGCTAATAAAAACGGAATCCAGATCTAATGAAGAGCTGGACGAATAACTGTTAACGGTGGCTCTGGAAAAGATGACAGCTTAATTAAAGTCCTCGTTGGGAATATAAGATGACATATGTTAGCTTCTGGGGAGGAATGGATGCATACCAAAATATGCGTACTTCAAAGGTACAAAAGACCTGGATTAAAGTTACTTAAAAGGTACAAGATGCCAGGCCTTTGAACTTTACCTTCTGGCTTTGCTAGTCAGCCAGGTGTTGTGGGAGCTGCAAAAGGGCACAGTTTATCCCTCTGGTTGTTAATCCCTCAACATCTGGAAGCTGGACTGCCATCCGTTGACTAGCTCCATTGCCTTTAACATCATCTTCCTTTGCAGACAAGTACAGGTGACAGGTGGGAATAGCTTTCCTTGCCGATTCTGGGCAGTTCAGTTTCCTCATAGGAGACCTATAGAATTGGTTTGGGTGTTTTGGCAACCCTTGGTTTATTATTGTGACGGGTGAGTAACAGCAAACCTGAGGCTGTTGTTTCTACCCTCCCCTCTACCCCTGGTATATTTGTAAGGAGCATATTGGAAACATTTGCATTTGAGTTTTCTTAACCCCTGTTTTGTTTTACATCTAACTACAAGGGATATTAGGGACTCGGGTGGTGCTGTGGTCTAAATCACAGAGCCTAGGGCTTGCCGATCAGAAGGTCGGTGGTTTGAATCCCCGCGACAGTGTGAGCTCCCATTGTTCGGTCCCAGCTCCTGTCCACCTAGCAGTTTAAAAGCACATCAAAGTGCAAGTAGATAAATAGGTACGGCTCCGGCAGGAAGGTAAACGGCGTTTCCATGTGCTGCTCTGGTTTGCCAGAAGCGGCTTAGTCATGCTGGCCACATGATCCAGAAGCTGTCTGCGGACAAACACTGGCTCCCTCGGCTTATAGAGCGAGATGAGTGCGCAACCCCAGAGTCGTCCGCGACTGGACCTAATGGTCAGGGGTACCTTTACCTTTTTACTAGGGATATTGGGGTGTCAGAGAATTCTGATGAAAAGAAACAGGAGCAGAAATTGCTGGTTTGCTCATTCATCCCATGTGCAGAATGGAAATCAATTCAGCAAATAAAATTGGTCCTCACTGCTGCTGTTGCTCTCAGTATTGTTGTTGTTGTTGTTAATAATAATTACCTGCCCTTCAATGCAAGGTCCCAGGGCAGGTTACAACATTAAAGCCCAATCTTAAAAACAGTTTAAAACAAGATGGCTCCTAAAAATATACTCTTCAAGGAATGCAAGCGCTATGAAATTGGTTATGTTTCAACCCCCTGCCACTATGCATTGTGTTTCCTTTGCAATGAAACACAGTGGGGTGGAATAATGTAGTGACAACGTAACTCACATAGCTTACGCAAGTTGCGTGATGAATTACATAAATCACAACATTTCACCACTGCAGATAGTAAGACCTCAGGGTGAAGGGCAGGTAATAAATATAATAACACTGGTGGTGGTGGTGGTGGTGATGATGATAATGTTGGTCTTAGCAGAAGACGATGTACAGCAGAATGGAAACAGTACTGCATGCAATGATAGCCCATGGTTCAGCATGGCATCCTAACAGTCCTCTGCTGATGTTTTTGCAACATCAGCTTTTACAATAAGGCTCAGATGGCATTTCTGCACCAGGCAAAGGCCCTTTTATTTCCCCAGGCTTTTAAATCAGATTTGCTGATGGTTTTTATGCTGCTTTGTATCTGCTTTATCTATGCTAATTGCCTCCCCTTCCCCAGTTCTTTAAAGTTGTAATGTCTTAATGTTTTAATCTGGTTTTAAGCAGTTTTTATTGCAATTTCTGTTCTTTGTAAGCTGTGTTGCAAACTTGTAGAAGGACATGTATTAGTCCCTATAAATAAATAGATTCAAGCACGCAAGTAGGACATAACTGGAGGCAAATGCCAGGCACTCGGATACAGCAGCAGAACCAACACCTGATGTCAGATTCCTTGGAAAGAGGCTCCACAACCCCAAAGTGCTTCCAACCATTGACTCACTCTCCTTCCTCTGCCATCTGCCAGAGCACAACCGGTGTATTCTCCTTTCTCTGGCCAGTGAATGAGGTGATAACGAGGCTTTCAAGTTTTACTGCTGTTTGCGACAGATTAACAATGGGAACCTATGACTCTCCCAATGCCACAGCTCCCATCTTCTCTGGCCATTGGCCATGCTGCCTAAGGCTGATGAATGATTTAGTTCAACCAGAGGCAGTAAAAAAAGCCACCAGCCTGGATAGCTTCAGGTTAGACAAATGCACGGGGGATAAGGCTGTCAGCGGCTTCTTGCCACAAGGGCAATGCTGTATATCCACTGCCAGAGGCAGTGATGCTTCTGAATTCTGGTTGATGGAAACCACAGGAGGGGAGAATGCTGTTGTGCTCAGGTCCTGCTTGCATGCTTTTCATAGGCACCTGCCTGATTTCAATCGGGTGTGAGTTCCATAAAATTGGGTCTGCTCCACTGGTGACAAGACTCCTCACTGACATTAGTTGTGCTTCTGGTCCACAGCAAGCTGCTAATGATGCTCTCCCAGATTATATCAGCGAGAGACTTGTGGCATAAAGCAGCCTCTAAAATTCCTTGAGCCTAGGTTGTTCGTAGTTTTGTACACTAGTACAATAGCCTTGAACCTGACCCAGTAGCAGATGGGAACCCAGTTTGGGTCTTTAAACTCCGGTGTCATGTGTTGGCATTGGCCTGTTCCCATCATGAGCCTAGCTGCAGCATTTTGCAGTAGCTAACAGTTTTAGTCCAGACCCAAGGGCAGCCTTGCATGGAGTGTGTTGCATCATGGGCTATTAACCTGCAACATACCTAAGAAAGGAATCCATAACACGAAAGATTGTGCATGAAACAGAAGGCATCTTCCTAGTGTGATGGTAACAGCTTATTGCCTGGATTTCTGCAAAACTCTAATTTTGCTCAATATGTGACACACTAGTGTATAAATTTGTCAGACCCTCTGTCATTTGTAAATCCCTGCCCTCCGAACTGAAATATGCTCCAGACTGCCCCATCATCTTTCTTTCAGCAATTATCTAAATTACCCCACACTGGGGGTACTTTGGGCTATCTGTAGCACCAACCCCAGGAGAAACTCCTGGTCTCTTTCCACCGCTGGTTAGAGTTATAATTGTGTGGGTGCTTGGGGATGGGGGTAAACCCTATTAGCTTGCAAGTGTAATTGGATCAGTGAAGCATGATGATGCCAATGACTTCCTAGGGATTCTGCTGCAACAATTCAATTAAAGGGGAAGAGATCTGTGGATCTGGAGAAAACCATAGCGGTGTGAAAGAGGGGAGATGGTTTGCAAACAGTGTACACTATTGGGAATGACTAGATTGCTTTGTATAGAGTAGAAGTTTTCAGGTTCTTTAGGAGTGTGTTGTATCAGAGATCTGCAGCTGAAGAAAAAGCAACTGAGTTGTGGAGTGTGTGTATTTATGAATAGTGGATTTCAGCTAATGGGACAGATGGCTGATTTGCTTCAGAACAAAGCCACATTTACAGCATACATTTAAAGTGTTATGATACTACTTTAAACAATCATGGCTTCACTCAAATAATACTGGGAACTGTAGTTTATGATGCTGAGAATCGTTGTTGTTGTTTAGTTGTTTAGTCGTGTCCGACTCTTCGTGACCCCATGGACCAGAGCACGCCAGGCACTCCTGTCTTCCACTGCCTCCCACAGTTTGGTCAAACTCACGTTAGTAGCTTCGAGAACACTGTCCAACCATCTCATCCACTGTTGTCCCCTTCTCCTTGTGCCCTCAGTCTTTCCCAACATTAGGGTCTTTTCCAGAGAGTCTTCTCTTCTCATGATGTGGCCAAAGTATTCCTCTCACAGAATTACAGTTCCCAGAGGGATTTAACAGGCAATCCCTCTTCCCAGGGAACTCTGAGAATTGTAGCTCTGTGAGGGGAATGGGGGTCTCCTAACAACTCTCAGCGCCCTCAACAAAGAACTGCTCCCAGAATTTCCTGTGTGGAGCCATGGCTACTTAAAGAGGCATCATGGTGCTTTAAATGTATGCTGAGGATACATGTCTTGGTCTGGAGTAGCCCTCTTAGCTGAAGTCCACTATTCACAAACACACCTCTCCTGGCAGGATCACTCCAGAATTGTAGAATTGTAAGGGGCCCAGAGGGTCATTGAGTCCAACCCCCTGAAATGCAGAAATCACAGCTGAAGAATCCATGACTGATGGCCATCCAACCTCTGTATAAAAATCGCCAGTGAAGGAGAGTCCATCACCTTCCAAGGTAGTCTGCTCCACTGTCAAACAGCTCTTACACATGAGTGAATACTTCTATATACAAAAAAATGAAAATCAAAATGAAAATCTCTTCTCCTGTTCAACAAGGTCTCTGGGAGAAAGCTGTAGTTTCGTCCATAGTAGCTTTCTATGTGAAAGCAGGTTTTTGTTTTTTCATGTGACAGCATTCAGTAGCATGGGTCTTTACCTACAGCCTGGAGGGGCTCAGCTCAGGCGCTGGTTTACCATGTCACTGAGAACCTTCATCTCACTGCAACTGAGCCTCTGGGATGCCTGTCAGGTTGTACACTGGAAACAAGTTCCTTACTTCTTTGTGTTCTTGTTCCAGCAACATGGCAAAAGCTAACAGATAGACCTTTCAGCCTGTCTACAAGAAGTGAAAGGACAACACCGGGGCAGTGAAGCAATGGAATGTGAACTCTTTGGAACACGCAGCACTGAAAACCATCAAGAAGCCTCAAGGTAGCAAAGCCCATCAGCTAATTTGCCCATGACAGGGATGAAATCCATGTAATTTACGAATTTAATATCGTCTGTCACTTGTGCTTAAGGAACAGAACAAAGCAAGATCTAGTACAACATAGAATGGAAATGAATCTGTAAGGTGAGTGACAGAGATGTTCATTCCATTCCCCGCTGGGCTCTCTTCTCTTGTCCACAGTCATAAGAATAGATATATGTATGCATATATACAGGTATACGTATGAGTGTGTGTCCAACTAAGTTTGACTGAAGTTAATAAACATAAGTTAGTAATGTGTATTAATTCCAGTGGGACTACTCTGATTATGCTAAATTATGGATAGGTAAAGGTAAAGGTACCCCTGACCATTAGGTAGTGGTGGAGCTTCATGCTCCGGCACAGGGGGGGCAGAGAGCCGGGGGGGCTGGTGCACATCCCGGGGTGAGACGCATTGCCCGTAGGGTGTGGCATGCGTCCTGGGGCGTGGCACGCCGCCCATAGGGGCATGGTGCCCAGCGTGGGGGGAGGCAGCCACAATGCCACCCTGCCGGCATTGTGCTGCCGGGGGCAGTGCGCTCCGCCCGCACACCTCTTCCTCCGCCAGTGCCATTAGGTCCAGTTGCAGATGACTCTGGCGTTGCACGCTCATCTCGCTCTATAGGCTGAGGGAGCTGGCGTTTGTCCTCAGACAGCTTCCAGGTCACGTGGCCAGCATGACTAAACCGCTTCTGGCAAACCAGAGCAGCACACGGAAGCACTGTTTACCTTCCTGCTTATTTATCTACTTGCACTTGATGTGCTTTTGAACTGCTAGGTGGGCAGGAGCTGGGACTGAACAACGGCAGCTCACCCCATCACAGGGATTCAAACTGCTGACCTTCCGATCGGCAAGCCCTAGGCTCTGTGGTTTAGACAACCCTACTATTACATGGAGCAGCAATAGGCAACACGGTGTCTTCTAGATGTAATTTTATTTTTCAAATTTTATAAACCACACTTTCACAAAATATATAATAACGGTTGGCATAAAAACATAACACTACCAAAACTTCAGTAAAAACATCAGTAGTTTATCAATAAAAACTGGTGGAAATTCAACTCCCATTAGCTCTAGTCAGTGTATCCCACTCTACTCAACCCTGCAAAAAAATGTTCAAGGAGTAGTTTAGAAATAAAATAAAATTTTAAAAAAGGAAGAGGACTTGGAGGGAGAGAAGATGAAAAAGACAAACTCATATTCCTAGAGAGGTGAGAGAGAGGGAGACCATAGAGAAGGAAATGGCTGATGCAAACCCAGAATATGGCTGAGCAGTCTATAATGGATATAACCCATCAGAACAGCAAAGGGATGGATCATCTGCAGCTGGTGAAAATGTACAACTATTATATTAAGTTTTAAAAGTAGGGTTTTGTTGAGGTATGAAATAAGAAAACCCAAAAACTGAAGAAGGGAAAATTAAGGGGGTGTTTTCTTAATGACATCATGCAGATGCCCTGTAAAAAGCATGTAAACAGAATGTGACTATTCCACAATAAGTGACCAGTGTGGAAACATTCCTGTTCTGTGTGGAAATGAATGTATAATGTTTTTAAGGGGCAGTCCAACACACCCATGATCTGCAAAAGGGTTTTTCCTTTGTTGGGGAAAGAATTTTCTCATTCTGAAGCAATGGTTCAGAGACTTTGCTTTCATTGTAAGGGAAATTAGATACCAAATGGGGCTTTTTGTGTTTTTTAAAAAATTTCCTCCATTGGGATGGAGAAGTGGAAATCAAGTGAGTTAAAAGCTTTCCCCCTCTGGATTGCTGTAAATTTGCAGTAAATGCCATATCTGGTGCTAAAACCACTCTGAACTCAATTTAAAGCAAAATGTGTTCATCTCAGACCAAGAGGGTTATAATTTTCTCCAGAAGATAACGTACTGGCTACAAAAAGGAGGCATAATGAATGGAAACATTAAGGTGGGGAAGTGAATACAAAATCCATGATTACATTTGGTTTGGGTAATAAAACGGCAAATAACCTGCCAGAAAGGAAGAGGGGGGGAAATATTTAAAGAAAACTTGCCAAGTTACATCCTCCTGTTTCATTGTCCTACATCCCTTTCCCAACAGAATTAATTTTAAAATATCTGAGAACTATAGAAGGGCTCAAAGTTGTTTTCCTTGGATGTTTTGTCAACGGGCTATGAAAAGAAAGATTGTAAAAACACTCGTGAGCACCATCTATTTTTTGCCCTAAATAGATCTACAAGTATAAAGAAAACAATTTGCAATTATGCGGCAGAGAGAGAGAGAGAGAGAGAGAGAGAGAGAGAGAATTTTCTGTCCTTTTTGGTGCACAGAAAGGAGAAAATGCTTGGTTACAAAACTGGTAGTCAATAACTGCTGGGTCTAAAGCAGGAGACCCCATTTTATTAAGCCCTTTGTCTTTTGACTCCTTTGTTTTCTTGAAAATTCTGTTCCTAAAAACCTAAAACGAGCCTGCTGGATCAGTCCATTGGCCATCTAGTCCAGCATCCTGCTTTCACAATAGTCAAACAGATGCCTGTGAAGAACCCACAAGCAGAGCCCAAGCTCAAGAGCCCCCTCCCATCCCATGGTTTCCAGCAACTGATATTCAAAAGCATCAGTAGCATATGGGATGCTGGAGCCCAGGGTGGGGTAAGAGGGCTGCTGTGATGTAAGTGTGCCTTGCTTCTATCTTCTACCTTACACCTTACACACACACAACTCTCAACACTGGCCTTTGTCTTTCTAAGTACCAGTGAACTGAGGGAGGGGAGGTGGACCAACCTATCTCTCCTTTGGCACAGAGCCACTTCCTTCGTTATCTTAATGACCCATACTCAGACCATCACCTCACCAAGAAGCTAGCCTGGCTATCCCAGGAATTTGAATCCTTGCTTAGATTTCAACACTTGCTGTATCCAGGAATTAGAAAAGTCTTGGCATACGGCCTACCCCACATCAAACTCCTAACAATTTACGTAAATGCACTCTGAGCAGGTATTGTCACTCCAAAAGAAGTCACATGGAAGACCTTTTTGGAGGAGAAATTGGAATATAAACAGATCCCTCTCCCCGAAAAATAGCATTAAATAACCATTGGGTGGTTGAGCTGCAAGGGCCACCCTAGAGATCCATGAAGGAAGATAAGAGGCAAATTATAAGATAAGCAGGTGAGCTGTGCCTAAGCCTACAACTGCTTCGGATGAAAGCAGTGTGTCTCATCACACAAGCCAAGAGCGAGCAGCCCTTTGTCCTGAACTCAAATGATAAGAGAAGTAACAGTGGAGTCTGGTAGCAAAAAAACCTTCTCGTTAACCTCTGTTTCCTGCTGATCGATTTGCGGTTATGGATCTCTCTGGAGACAGGAGCTGATAATTGAAGCAAGGTCAAGAGATGGCAGAGAACATGGATAGCTGAAGAAAGGGAGGCTTCATGCCAGTGTCTTGAAAAAGGCTCCAAAGATGGAGGTGCCTTGCTATCGCCAGTCAACAAGGAGAGCGGAGAAATAAAGACAGGAAGGCATCGAAGATATGGTTCAGAAGATGTACCTTGCTGCTTTCACCAACATTGGTGATGCACTAATAGAAATTAGATTTCTATTTCTGCTTTTCATGCTGCTGGATTTGGGCTGGTGTTATGCAATGTTTAGCGCAGGGATACCCAATGTGGTGTCCTCCAGATGTTGTTGGAAAGCAAATTTGTGTATTAAAAAAAGCCTATGAGGTATAACTCCAGCCATTCCTTCTGTCTCCTTGGACTCTGGTTCATGAAGTGGGCAATTCCTTCCTTGACTTTATGAGGCAAAGAGCAAGGGATAGTTTGCCCATGTTTGAGAATTTTATTTGGAGTCATTATGAAGGTTCATCAGTTTTTTTAGTGTGCAATTTCTCCTAATACAGTATGCCTATTTTTGTTTGTCATTTTGCCTAGTATAGTACATTTTGGCAAACAGTTTCTCCTAATATAGTACATTTGTATATCTTGTTTTTGCAAATATTTACCCTTTTATGTACCCTTTCCCCTTATGTGCACATTTTTGTACAGTTTTTTGTTGGAGGCTTGCATCATAGAATCCAGAGAAATATGAGTCCCTTCTGTTGCACACATAGGTCCATCCTTTAGGTCTTTCCCTTCAGTTACTGCTGGAACCTTTTAACAGGAGGTGCCAAGGACCTGGGACCTGCTGCACGCAAAGTATGTACTCAACTACCAGACAAGGGTCCCTTGCTATTAGCAACACCAATTGCTGGGAATTGCAGATGGGCAGAGTGCTCTTGCAGGCTTCCCACAGGCATCTGGTCAGCCACCATGAGAACAAGGTGATGCACTAGATGGGCCACTAACCTGTTTCAGCTGGCTCATCTTAACCCAACAGAGTGACTAGACAGTGTGCATGTGCTCTGCCACTGAGCTATGTCACTCTACAAGGTGCTATGTTCACTGATAACATGTCTATTAGCAGTAGTGGACAGTATGGTGGAGCAGCAACGTGCACATGACCTCCTATCACTGCTGATTACTAGGAAGAAGAGGAGGAGTGTCAGGCATGGGCCGTCAGCCGGCTTGATAACAGCACACAAGACGTAATTAACTGGTAGATTTATTGCAAGTAGCAATTAGTCTCTGACCACTCTATTGGAACATCCATTCATCACAGTCAAGTTGACCCTTCTGAAGAGTGCTTCCGTTTGCTGCAGAATATCCTGAACTTCTGACCCTTACATTTTAGGGCTTGTTTTCTTTCTAGGACTTTCCCTATTCACCTAGTTTTGGGACTAATGGTGTTAGTTGCCTCCTCTTCCTTTGAGGAACTGCGTACTCTCCTTTGTGCCGGGCATGACTGTGCTTCTTGCGAGAGCTGGCTGCTCTGCAGCCCACTCTGCCGAAGTAGATAAGCTGCATTCCTGCCAGCTGCCAAAAGAGGAGGG